CCACAGACCGGTACGCTCCCACAGAGTGGGTCTCCTCAGGGTGCCGTCGGCCAAGCAATGTCGGCTGGCGACCCCCAGGGGGAGGGCCTTCTCTGTGGGTGCCCCCACCCTCTGGAACGAGCTACCCCCCGAGATCCGGACGATTCCGGATCTCCTAACCTTCCGCCGCGCCCTCAAGACATGGCTTTTTCAGCAAGCGGGACTGACCTAGGGTGAATTTTAAATAGGGATAATTTTTAATGATTTTAATAAGAGACACAGCTACAAATATTTGGTTTTTAATTGGCTTTTATTGGGGAAATGTACTATGTTGTTTTAATATGCTGTGAGCCGCCCTGAGTCCCGTGGGGAGAAGGGCGGCATATAAGTCTTAAAATAAATAAAATAAAATAAATAAATAAACAGTCATAAATCACATTCCCCAATTAGCTTGAAGCTCCGGCTTCCTCTCCAGTTCTCCAGCCCACCAATTCTTTATCAGCTCTGGGTCCAATAACCTTGATTCTCAAGCTAGGTTTAGTGTTGTTATGTCTAGCTAGACCAGGGGTAGGCAACCTTGGCTCTTTTATGACTCGTGGACTTCAACTCCCAGAATTCCTGAGCCAGCATAGGAATTCTGGGAGTTGAAGTCCACGAGTCATAAAAGAGCCAGGGTTGCCTACCTCTGAGCTAGACTCTCATTCACATCCCCCCCCCAGCATTATCTAATTCTAAAACCGAAAGGGAAAAAGATGGCTACATCACTCTTCCCTAATACTCCTGATGTTCTTTTGGATTTGTTAATGTCTGAAGCCTGGTTTATATGCTACATTTTCCAAGTGAAGTTAACACTACTTGCTTTGGGGATAACACATAATTATTGTGTGATAATACATTTACTCACTTCTTTCTGCAAAGGCATATTTCTCTTTATAAAATTTATAGACAGTTTCTGTTTGAATCAAACCAGGTATAGTGTAACCAACTTTTTTTAGCCTTGAATTGGAAAATCAGCCCATACTAAACTAAATGTAAAATAAAATAAAGTAAAATAAAAAAGGAGATTAATGATAATTTTAAAAATCCTTAAACAAGAATGAAATTGAAAAAAAGTTCACTTTCCATTTGATAGCAAGATCAGGCCTAGGGCAATTTTTAGAGGGGTTTTAATCATATTTTAATTAGACAATATTTAAATATTTCTTCTTAATTAATTTTAATTTTGTAATTGTTATTGGTGTATTTTTAGTCGATTGTCAGCCGCCCTGAGTCCGCAAGGAGAAGGGCGGGATATAAATTCAATAAATAATAATAATAATAAAAGTTATCAGTAATGCCAGATAATCATTTTTTTTTCCAAATTGGTAGTCTGCCTAGCATTTTAGATAAAAATAAGTAGTCAAGTTAGTTGCTCTGTCTGCTTCTTAATGCTGTTGCGGTCAAGAATTGCCAAACAAGGAGTGATAACTTTTCAAATACACTAATTGCCTAGTTCATTCTCCTTTCTAGGTTATGGATCTTTGGGAATGATGACAAGTGTCCTGATATGCCCAGATGGCAAAACTGTTGAGGCTGAAGCTGCTCATGGCACAGTGACTCGTCACTATCGCTTGCATCAGAAAGGCCAAGAAACCTCCACTAATCCCATAGGTAAGTGGGTTCCACCATCCCCAGTCTAACCTAGTGTCTTAAATGAATGTCACAGCATAGCTCAAATGAACCCTTGAAATCATAAAGGTCTATTAGCAAAAGACACTGACTCGGAATTAATCCTATGGGCCTATCAGTTTACAGAAAAAAATGTGGAATGTTTGCATTGTGTATGTGACTATTGCTACATCATTTATGGTGTTAAACTGAAACTTGCTTCCAGGAATGAAACTGTGATGACCAGTCTCTAATTAATTAACTGATGTTAATCGTACGAACACTATTCAAGGGAAGAGATTCCAAGTATGGGAAGTAGGAGAATTTGTACAACATCTGTGGCTATGTAATCACAGGTTACTCTCTAAAATCTGCTCGAGAATAAAGTGGAATTATTTCAGTGAATGTTATCAGTAGTCATACTGAACAATCAATATAGATTGTTAGGTTATCTTTTAGACTGAGAGTATGGGGGGAAAAATGTAGGCAATACAGATGTCTAGTTGAACAATGTTGTTGAGTTCTCTCTTCCCATCGTCCTAGCATCCATCTTTGCCTGGACCAGAGGACTAGCTCATAGAGCAAAATTAGATAACAACCAAGACCTCCAGAATTTTGCTTCAGCCTTGGAGGATGTCTGTGTAGAGACAATCGAAGTTGGTTTTATGACAAAAGACTTGTCTGCTTGCATTAAAGGGCTGCCTAAGTAAGTGATCTGTTTCAAAGAAATACCAGAATATTTAAACTGTTTTAAAATTCATTTAGTTATTTAATGAATGTATAGTCCACCCATCTCACTTAAATGATTCCGGATGGCTAAAATGTCCTATCTGCTTCTGGGAAATTTTTAATAAATACACTAATTGTCTAATAATAAAAATCAAATCAAAAATCATTTTAAAATTTGGAGACAGAACTAGTTTTTTGAAAATGTAAGACACATGTACCTATTGGTTACAGGTTGTCCTCAACTTACGATGATTGAACCCAAAATTTCTGTTGCTAAGTGAGACAGTTAAATGAGTTTTGATCCATTTTACAACCTTTCTTGCGACAGTTAAGAGAATTGCTGTTGTTAACATGGCTGGTTTCCCTATTCACTTTGCTTGTCAGGTCGCAAAAGGTGATCACATAACCCCAGGCACTGCAACCATCATAAAGGTTCAATCAGTCAATTTCAACTTCTCGCGGGGAAAAAAATCTTGCAAAGTTGGAATTGATTGATTGAACTTTTTAGTCCCACCCAGTCTGCCGTTACCACTGCAGCCACGCCCACCTAATGGGCCACACCCACCTGGCACTCGACGATGCATAAGTGGATTTTGGGTTGCAGTTTGGGCACTCAGTCTCTAAAAGGTTCGCCATCACTGCATTAGTGCATTTCTTAAACTCTTGAATTTACACTATTGTTTTGCTTTGTTTTAATCACAGTGTGAAGCGCTCCGATTATTTGAACACATTTGAATTCATGGATAAACTTGCTGAAAACTTGAAGACAAAATTATCTTCTCAGCCAAGATTGTAAGAGCAGAGCTTGAAATATTTGCTCTGGAAAGACAACTATCTCATGAATGGATGAATGACTATATATATATATAAGGGTAGCACTTCAAAAAGAAATCAACCTAAATGTAATGATCAAATTCTCCCACTCTCTAGCTTTCTGTAATGTTAAGAGAGGAGGAAAGGCATAGGGAAGGGCAGAACTGATGTTTGTCTTTGTGGAAAATAGCTTTTTCCTGGTCAGCCAGAACCCCTAGAGGAATTAATATTTGTCGAAGGGGAAGGGGCTCTAAATTAAGTCATTTTTAAGAATTTTACTTTCTAACTCCTCATGTAATTATATACAAAATGCAGAAGATCCTTCTGACCAATCATTTTATTGGAATTGAAAAATATAATCCAGCTTGATATGGACAATGTTATGAGAGGATTTTAATTACTTGTGGTGGGGAGGAAGAGAAAAATGTTTTACAGGAAGCTTTACTATGACATAGTCTTGTACACAATACAGGCAGAAACAATCCTTGAATTTCCTTACATCTGGGAGCTGACTAAAGAGAAGGAAAAATTGCTTTCTGCTTGCACATGTAGCTTACAATGGAACATTTCAAACTAACTTGTCACCCAATTTGGGTCAGCGGTAACATTGGTTTTTAAAGCAGGAAATAAACACTAATACCCATTCTTGTGTCCTGTGATCTGTGAATTGTAGCTTAAAATTCAGCAACTTGCAAATTTATCCTGCCATTTGAAAGGATACAGAATATTCAGTTTAAAAAGGCTGGATAAGTTTTAACCCAGTGCACAACAGACTAAGATCTAGCTCTTGTATAAGAGGGCAATAGTACCATCTTGATATGTAAGTATCAATATGAGCATCTCTTGTCCCCTAAGAACCTGGAAAAAATTGGAAGTGCAGATTACACTGCATCACTGTTGGACCTGTGACAGAACTGAAAAGCTGATGTACATTTTCACGCTAAAATATACACAACTATCATCACAGAACACCCATTAATGGAAGGCAAAATACCAAGATGGGAACCATGGTGGGAACATGGTTTCCAGTCTCCAGGATGCTCAATTCAAGTTTACCTTTTTTTTCCTGCCCAACAGTTCCCATTCTCAACCAAGCAATCATCTTCTATTTTTTAAAAAATATTTGATAGAAATTGTATATGGGCAACACATTGGATTTGCTTCATTTTATCCAGAAAATTTATCATGTTGTACATGCCACATGAGAAATATAAAAGGATTATGTAAACCAGGTAAAAGGTTTGCATACAAGAATCCAAAATTAACTATTCTATTTTGAATTCTTTGGAACTATTTTCAAAGAAGAGTACAATGTTAAATGATTGTGGAGGAGGGAAGAGTGTTACTCAAGTACTCTGTGACACACCAGATGCCCATTTAATTTAAAAAAATTAGGAAATTAAAAGTAATACATAGGAATAAGCCTTTGCAAAAAGTGCAGCTTTTAAGCCTTCACTGAGTTTATACTTACCTTGAAGTGTATCTACCATTTCATGGCCTATTCATTGATGGAAAAATCACATTAACTTATTTTTAACATCTTGAAAAATGTGGTACAATTGTGTTTGCCTGCCCCCACAACAAATTCTGAAGAAGTAGATCTAGATTTGAAGTGGGACACATTTTAACATCCCCATCACTGGGAAACTCTGTTACTACTTTCTCCTGTTAAAAAAAAAAGATAGTTACTTCCCAAAAAAATAAAGCTCTGCTGATTATATATTCAAGGTTTTAAAATACAGTGGAATCTAAACTATAATATCCTTTCTTTGAGAACTAAGATAAGATTCATTTGAATATTAAAATACCATTTACAATTCTACCTATTTAAGAAGTGAACAATTTTATACCAATTACTGAAACATTATTCCAAACTCTCTGAATACATTAATCTCTTACACAACAAAATAACTCTTCTCCATAAAGTATTTTTTTCTTCCACTGTTTTCTACATGAACATTTATTTAATGAAGGATTTTTTTTTCATTTTATATTTTAGGACAAAATCAGTAAAGTTGTGATTACATGAAATCTGCTTTCCAACCAAAATAAATGTCTTGACTTTGTCTTGTTTTCCTGTACAGTACTTGGATTACTCTATTCCCCTGCTGTTGTATAAAAATTTAAAGGCACATTTTTGTTGCAGTAAACAATAGGCATAATACAGAAGACATGTAAGAAGATAGAATACCTGATTTTGTGTTTTCTAGTTATTTTGACATTTTATCAAGCTTACATATAGGTCTTCCAATGCATCTTAATAAATCTGATATAATTCAACAGGCCTAGTTTGAGAAACAAATATTTGTAAAAAAGAATTTTATTTTTAAAATTAAGTAGCTAAAACTAGGTTAATTAAGAAAAAAAATATATTTAGGAAACAATTGTGTTGCTCTTTGTCTAAAGACTAATCACTAAATATAGGCTGAATTTCCTTTTTATTGTTCTTGGGTGTCCTGGACATTTCAGTTCCTTTTGTCAATTTGTTCTTTTTTGCTTTGTAGATGGGGGACCTGAGGAAGTCAGTAATTGTAAAGGGGTCACCACGCCTCAATTTTCTGCAGAAAAAAATATATTTATTATAAATACTATACTGACTTCATATCCAGAAAACAGCATCCAGTTTGTACACCCCACCTAAAAAAATTATGTGGAACAAAATGCAAAACTAACCTATTCAGACTAGGCTCTACATAGGAAATATCCTTTTTTCTTCGTCGGCTTGGATATATCGTAGTTTCAAGAGGGATGGAATTGGTCAAATTTTTCAGTACTTTGTTCCCTGTGAATAGAGTAAGGTAACTAACAAATGCTTATGATAAGTCAATACTTCCAGGAGAATTCAGTTACTAAACAGCTGTAAATTACAGTTAAGTAAAAGATTATTAGATTAATTTTCATTTTTAACCATCTATACTGCAGCCCTTTGCCTGTTAATTGGGAGTAATAATTTCTGAGTATATGTATCTAGGATTATACAATATTCTATAGCTGTGGTCTTTCGAATAGCTTACAGTAGTTTGAGTTATTATTTACCAATAAGGTATTACTGGTTGCTATCCTTCATCTCTTTCCAAGGAGAAGAACAGAAGTCTAGAGTAAGAAAGGACCTAAGAAGTCATCAGGTCTAACCCCCTTTCACCATCCCTGAAAGATGTTTATCCAGCTTCTTTTTGAAAACCACTTCAGAGGGAAAGAAACCACTCCATGTTGATAAACTATTCTACTGGCGGACAGCTCTTACTGTAAGGAATTACATGTAGTCCTTAGCTTATAACCACAATTGAGACAAAAATTTCTTTTAAGCAAGTCATGCCCAATTTTACGACCTCCTATGCCACTGCTGCTAACCAAATCACTGAGTTGTTCAGTGAATCATGCGGTCATTAAGTGAGTCTGATTTCCCCAGTTGACTTTGCTTGCTGGAAGCCAGCTAGGAACATTGCAAATAGTGATCGCATGACCTCAGTACGCTACAACTGTTGCAAATACACACTGGTTGTCAAGCACCCAAATTTTAATCGTGTTCGTGGGGATGCTGCATTGGTTACAAGTGTAAGGACCAGTTGGTCACTTTTTTCAGTGCCATTGAAATTTTGGTCACTAAACAAATGGTTGTAAACCAAGGACTACCTTATTTCTAATCTCTAATCTCCATCTACATCCTTGAATTTTCATCCCATTAGTTCTAACTTTTACTGTTTGGACCAAGTGAAAATTAGTCCAAACCTACAATGTGAATATCTGAAGACAGCTATCAGGCCCTCTCAACTTTCTCTTCTGCACGCTAAACATACTTCGTAGTTTAACATTAATTTTACTAATGTGAACCAGTTTTTCATATTTAGGTTACTCTTCAGGTATGTATCTATTGGCCACACTCCTCTCAAGCAGAAATAAAGTAACCAATTCCTACATGGCCAACTGTATAAAGCCTGAGTTAATCTGCTCAGATTATTTAATCATGATAGAAAGTTCCTATATGGGCAGCCTTTAACTACCAGTAATGTCATTTTAGAAATATCTTTTAAGGACAATGAATCTGTCAAAAAAAATCCCAAAGTTAAATTAAGAAACAAGGTAAGAATTAAGATGACAATTCTTAAGTCACTGTATCTTATAGCTTGTAAAACAACAGATAAATGTAGGAATGTTTTATCTTAAAGATTAATTAATTAATTTATATACATTTATGTTAGTTTTTTCTGCTATTCCTATAGTAAAAGCTTTTAAGTGTTTCTTGGCTGCAATCCCAACACTCTCCATTCATGATAAACCAAAATTAGATTTTTCTATCATATATGTTGATACGGTCTGAGTGAATAGAGGCAAGCTTCTGTTGCATCACAAATTTCTTACTTTCCATGACATTCTTTTTCATTCAACAATTATAGAAAGGTTCTAAGTCACCAATAAGTGAAAAAATCTTGATCTAAATTGTAAGAGATTAGGGTCATCAGAAATGAAAGCACTAAACTCATATATGATTGCACAAAAAGAAAAGCAAACCAGGTGACACTCCTAGGGGCTCACTATAAACCATCAATTTCATTTGTCTCCAACCTTCTAATACTCACCATTTTCTTGTAGGACTGCATTTTCTGCACTTGTTTTTGCAATGGCTTGTATGGGCTGCTTCTCTTCTCTTCCAGAAATCTCAAGTTGCTTAATATTTTCCTTGAAGACAGCTGAGATTATTGACAAAGCACAATCTCTTTCTGGGTTTTCTTGGACTTCAACATACCTAGAGCTTTTAGAAAGGCCAACTGAAGGAGAATTGGGATTTAGAGACAAGGTCTTGGTAATATCCACAATTGGCTTTTGCAAAGCGCTGCAGTCTGCAACTTGGAGAAAACTCCATTTTGTCTGCTTGGTTTGAGTGATTTCACAATCCTCTGGATCTTGAAGGAATGGCTCAGAATCAGTACCGTTGTTACCCAAATCATTTACAATGCATGTTTTCTTGCTAAATGTTGGCATTTTTTTCTTTAAGCCAGCCTCATTGCTGATGGTCATCCAGTTTGCCTTCTCTAAATGGCTACTTTTTTTAGTTAAAGAACAACTGTTTGGGGTGGTTGAGGTTTCCCAGTTCTTTTTGACTGAGCTATTACTTCCTTCAAAAAAGTTATCCTCATCACCCAAAGAAACTGGAAGTACAGATGGCGTACATTTTGATTTTTTCTTTTTACTGACTTTTTGAGCTTTCTCATTCAAATCAAACACATCAGCTTTGGCACTGGAATGTTCTTTCTGTATGATATCCCTATCGAAATTCATTGTTTTATCTCTATGCTTTTTCTTTTTAATTTCTGATTGTGGAAGTTCATAATCTATATTATCTAAACTCTGTTCTTCCATCTCACTTAATCTATGGGATCCATTATTTTCATGCACCTTCCTCTTTGATTTACGCTTTACATTCAGTCCTGAAATTGCTTCTTGATTAGGAACTTGCTTCTGGAAACCAACTGAATCTTCTGTATTCACAATGTTTAATGAATTAGACTCTGGACTCTGGAACCGTCTTCCTAAACTATCTAAGTTTTCAAAGTCTGTCCTTTTTTTAGTATCATGTTGAAAAGAAGTGCAACTGTTCCTATCATTGGAAGGCCCTGGATCTAGCACAATGGTTCTTCTACAATTTTTGGCTTTATTAAGGCATTTTGTACTATAACTGCAGCTTTTCTCATTTTGTTGAATTTCATTGCTTAATGATCTAGACTCTGGACATTGGGATTGATTTTCCAAATTCCTCATTTTTTCCAAGAATATTCCTTTTTCAATTTCTTGAGTTGTGTAATTATTTACACAATTTGGCTCTATCACAAAGGTTCTTCTGTTTCGTGTTCTTTGGCCTAAATGTTGGGAACTACGTTTCTCCTTCTTATCATGATCTGAATTTTCCACATGACAGGCAGACTTAGGAAGTTTTATCTTACTACTGTTCAGTTCACTGGTTTTTGACATTGCAACATTAATATCCGATCTTCGATTATTACCGTTATTCAAGCTTAATTTTGATTGACTGGTAGAAAACATTATGTTCTTTGTTTCAGCATTATCATTTTCTAGAGTTTTTGTTTCCTTGGCTTTGATCTTTATACAGCTTTCACTTTTGGTGCTCAGTGTAATAAGTTCACCAACATGACTGATTTCAAGATTCTCTTTAACAAGAGACTCTGTTTCCTTTGTCACCTGCAGCTTATCAATGTCTGAGACTTCTGCCTCTAAGTTGTTTCCAAATGTAGCAGGAAAGCCTGTTTTACGTTTTTTTCTCTTAGTCACATGTTCACTCAATATACTATCACTGTGTGGTCTTGTAGTATCCTCACATTGCTGGACAGGATAATTGTTATCCAGGATAGATAGTGAGCAACTCCTGGAATTCTGTGGCACATTCCAAAGATTGTCTAGAATGATAATTATATTTATTAGGCAAAAAAAAATCTTCACACTCCAAAATAAGCCACTTAGAAAACTTAATGAGGTAAAAATACAAAAAGAGATCTTTCTATCTAGTAAAATCCATTTACTTTACCCATTTTTCCAGCGGATATCAGCCAGATACAACTAGTAAGTTCACTTCCCAGCCCCTTGCTTTGGACAGTAACTTACTACAGATAGTCCTCAGCTTAAAACCATTGGAAGTTACAATGACACTAAAAAAAGTGACTTATTGACCAGTCCTTGGACTTACAAGCATCACAGTATTTTATTTATTTATTTATTTATTATTTCAATTTATATCCCGCCCTTCTCCCGAAGGACTCAGGGCGGCTCACAACATTATTAAAACAAAGAAAGACCCACACACCCCACCGAATAAAACCAAATTAAAACCAAAATTTTTATGTTGTGATAATTAAAATTTCTAAAAAACCCAGTTTAAAAATCCTCCCTAGGC